CGACGTCTCTCTCGCTCTCATTCTCTCGTTTCCTCTCTTCTCCTGTCCCATGGTGCTGGTGAGAGGCAGCGTCAGAGGCCCCAGCCCGAGGCTCAGAATGGGTACTGCGACACATATATCCGCAGTCGGATCACGGAGCTGCCTCTGAAGTTGATGACGGTGTTGACAGTGATCATTTCCAAGTCCAGCTGGATGTCCCGGGGCCCTTTGATGGGGCGTGTCATCACCAGGGTGGCACTGATGGGGCCCGTTTGCTGTGGAGGGAATCAGGGGACACTCTTTAGAGAAGATCTTACTCAAGCAGAAAGTCTGGGTGGGCTCTTAGCAGGAAACTCCCTTTGTCCACGTCAGCGCCTAGCTTGGGCTATGCTATTCCCCTGGCTCTGCCCACTTGCCGCAGGGCTCTTTCCTGCTAACCCTTCAGGGCTCATCTGAAAGGTCACTTCCTGAAAGGAACCTTCTCTGATTGCCCAGTCATCCATGACACATCCCCCTGGGACCCTCGGCCATCGCACCTCTACTTAGCTGAGGACGGAAAGGATTTGTTGGCAAACGTAATTGTCAACATCTTCTACTGGATCCATATCTGATATTTAGGTCCCCACTAGACGATGAGCTCATTAAGAGCAGAGATCAGGGACCAGCAGGGGCATGGAGGTTAAGGAGCCTGATCCCACATGGCTGGCTGTTTGAGTCTCGGACCCAGTGGCTTGAAAATCACACCAGGTGCATGTTTGCATGCCCGAAATTCTGAGAGGAGACTAGAAGAGATGGAATTACAGTGTGGCTATTTCCCCTGGGTCGGGGGTGGTGGTGGTGGTGATTTCTCACCTCCCCTCATCTCTCTCTGGCAAGCACACATGCTCTACAGCAAAAACAAAACAAAACAAAACAACAACAACAAAAAACAGAGATCAAGGTCAGCCTTTTCACGCCTGAATTACCCCCCAGAATTCAGTGGAGTGCCTTGAACACAATGTGTTCAGAAAATAGATAAATAATTGATTGAATTTACTGCATGACTTAGGGCTGTCACTTCACCTCTCCAGGCCTCAATTAATTCCCAAACAAGTGATATCACAAGTGCCTAGGATACTTTTCAAACAGGAACAATTCCAAGATGTGCTAGTTTAGTACTTTTTAGGTAATGCCTAGGAAAGGTGAAATTTGAGTCCTATCTACACATTCTGCAACCACCTTCAGCTTCATCATTCTGTGGTCCTAATCATTTCCCCTGAATCATTTCTAAAGGTTCTGAGGTGGCAGAGGGAGAAGGCTGATGGCAGTTGAGCACCTGCCATGAGACAGGAGTGCTCGGGCCCTGTCGATCTCTTCTGCTCATCTCATCCTCCTGAAAACCCGGAGACCACAGTGTGGTCCCTGGCCCAGCAGCATCAGCATCAGCAGGGAGTTCGTGGGACATGAGAATCTCAGGCCACACCTAAGATCCACTGAGCCAGAACCTATAGCTTAACACAATGCCCGGGTGACTCTCGTGCACATTAACTATTGAGGAACACTGATCGAAGGCAGGGTCTTGGGCAGGACCCTGGCTGCTCTTCTGTGAAACCTGCACTAAAGGTACGAATCCTTCTTTTCCCATTTTATAAATAAGAAAAGTGAGGTCCAGTGAGGTTTAATGGGGGGTTAAGTAATCACTGGGTTGGCCAGCTAGTCAGGGGCAGAGCTAAGGGCTTCCATGCAGGTGTTCATTCTGACCCCAAGCTCCAAGTCTTTTTTTACAACATAATTACTGGAAGGGGTTGATGTGCATTTTCCCTGGCACTGCCCTACCTAAGTGAGAGATGGTCAGTGATATGGACCCAGACTGAGCACCTGTAGAGGAAATAGTGTGATGAGAACAGGGAGGGGCAGGAACATCACTTCCCATAAATGCAGAGCCTAGCCCAGAAGGTGAATGCAGCAGACTCTGAAATCAAGGAACTGGCTTGCTTAAAGCCACGCCAAGCATTTTATCTGTCTCCTTAAAGGGAGGACTCCCTATAAAATTCCGAACATCCTCTAAGAGCTGCCACTGGTACGACAAGGGCAGAGCTGGCAGATGGGTGCGGGCCGGGTGCTGGGACCTCCCCTGGCCACTGGGCCATCCATCAGGAGCCTGACAGCCACACAATTTCCTCTTGGCATTGGCGCCCTCTGTTCCCATCGGCGCCCACATACCGGCACCTCCTCTTGCAGAGGATCACTCAGACTTCCTTGTCAGCCCTTGCAAAACCTCAGAGTCCTGGGCCAGGACATCAGAAGGTACAGCCACACAGGGAAATGCTCCTGGCATTTGCTTATACAAATATCTAGCCAGTTTTCACTGTTTGCATGAACAAAGGCCAAAGTTGAGGACCCTGAGCTGTGAGCAGCACTCCAGAGGTTCGTCTGCAGAGCCTATGGGCTTCCAGGGGGAATGGAGTATGTGGAACCTTGCAGATTCTTCCTTTGGGCTTTCCATGAATATCTCCCAAGCATGAAAGACTCCAGGACTCCCATTTGGAAGTAACTTTTGGGGCTGGCAAGTCCCATCTCTGCCTATGTCAGATCCGCAGCACCCTAAGAAAGGCCTCCCCACAGTACCAGAGAGCCAGAGAGGGCCTGCGTGCCCTGCAGGACAGCTACCTCCCAGGCTGCGTTCAGGTTTCAGGGCACAGTCAAGGCACTGATGAAACAGACTCCCCAAGAGTCCCTGGAGGCTTTGGTGGTCATCGATGCAAAATGATGCAGAAGGTGGTGGAGGTCTTGGTGACGGTGGTGGTGGCTACGGCGCCAGGCGTGACAACCTTCCATACATCTCTAATTTGATCCTCATCACCTACCCCGTAAGTAAGTTAAGGATTCTACACAAGGCCACGAAACTAGTGCATGGCACTGGAATGTCTGACTCCAAAAATCACGCCTCTGACGGCTGTGCTCCATGGTAAGGGCTCGACGCCCCTCTGCTTCCCAATCATCCCACCACCCTGAACTCCACTTGGGAATTACCACTTCATGTTATGCTTGCTAGGCTGTTGTCCCCATCCCCATGACAGTGTGTGTGGGTTTCTCAGGGGCAGCAGCCACATCCCGTCTGTTTCTGAACTCTCGGCACCTGACTCTAAGCCGCACACGTAGCAAACGTGTGGGGGAAGAACGTGCACGCCTGACTGAACACCAGTCGACTTGACCACACGCAGAATCGGCTGCGAGTGGCCCGACAGACACATGACCTCCCTGCTCTGCTGCCCTATGACTCAGGTTTGCTCAGAATCCACTTGTGGGAGGGCAGGAAGGACTGTCTGATGTGTGGCAAGCAGTCAGCCCCATAGTAAGTCGGCTCCCCTTGGCCCTGCCACTGAGCCGTGTGGCGTGGAGTAAACACACTTCGGCACAGTCTGAGCTCCATGCCATGCTGCTTCTTCTGGACCTAATTGTGTCCCCAAGTCACCTGGCCAAAGCCAATCACCAGTCTCCTGTCCAGGGCTCAGTGTAAGACAGACTGCCAAAAGAGAAATTGTGAGAGGGCATGTGTGTACATGCATGTGTGTGGGTATGTATGTGGGTGGGTGGTGGGCATATGGGCATGCGTGTGTACACATGCATGTGAGTGGGTGTGGGTGTGCACATGTGAATGTACATGCAAACACGTGTGTGGTTTACCTGCTGGGTAAGATGAAGCTCATCCTCCCAAGTGTTTGTAATCGAATTGATGACCCACTGGGTGGGAGGGACTGGATGACCATGTGGCCCAACCTCCCCCATGAGGCGCCAGCCCCAGCAGCACCCGGCATCTCTAAGGCCCAGGTGCTCAGGACCTCCCGACAAGAGCAGCAGTGGCAGGCAGCAGTGTTACATTGTAATAGCTAATATTCACTGAACGCTTTGTTTTTAAATCATCTATTTAGTTTTATTTATTCCTTCATTCTTTTTTTTTTTTTTTTAATTTGACCAGAGAGGGAAAGTGAGAAAGTAAGACGCCAAGCCAAGTCCAAGATTTGAACCATGGTTGGCTATGTGGGAGTGTCCAGCGTCTCATCCATCACGCCACCTGCTGGTCCCCTCCCTGAACACTTTCTATATGACTTGGTGCCAAAGTAGACTTTTCTTGTTATCTCAATTTCTGCTGAGACCCCAAAGTTAGCAGAATATGTAAAAGTTCTTGATTCCAAAGTAAAATATAAGAATTTTTTTTCACTTTTTTTTTTTGGTAGAGGTTTTTTTGCCTTAGGGCACCTACACTCGCCGGACAGAGAGCGACAGAGACTGTGAGAGGGAAAGTGAGAAATCACCCCCCAGGGGGGATGGCCACACTGCAATCCCTTCTCCACTCTCCTCCTAGGATCTTGGGCATATACGCCATGCGCTCGGTGTGAGTTTCAAGTCACCATGTCTGGGATTCGAACCTCGTTTGGCAAGTGGGAGTCCAGCAACAACTGCTACACCATCTGCTGGCAAGAAAATATTTTGATGCCAGAATGCCTGGTTCAAATCCTGTTCTGGTGCTCACTGGCTGTGAGATCCTCGGTAGGCTGCTCACCCTCTGTGCCTCGGGGTTCTCAAGTGAAAAACTGAAAAACTGGGGTGACGAAACGACCCGTGTCCCATGAAGACGCTAGGACAGGTGCATGGAAAGCCTGACTGTGGCGCCTGGCACACACCCAGCACCACACATGGCTCGCTGCCCTGCTATGTGTGTACACAGCACTTGCAAAGCTGTGGCCCAAAGCCAGATCCCTTCCCCTCACTTCGTCACCACCTCTAGCCTACAGAAGTTTTACCAGCCTTTACCTCAAGCAAGAGGGGGTTTCAAGAGAACCATTCAGAGTGGGGTCCCCTGAAACTCAAGGATGCAGGCAGTGGTACTGGAGGCCCCCTGCAAAGTCTAGAGTTGCCAGCCCAGAGTTACCTCACACCACAACTTGGGGAGAGGTCTGCAGGGGAGCTGGCGTTGGGGTTCTGAAAGGCCCGCATGTAAAGTCTGTCTTCTGGGGTGCAGAAAACCTCCCCCCACCACCACAGAAAGTCTTTGTGGAACAGCACCAGAGCAAGGAGCTGAGAGGCCTGGGGTGGCAAAGTGGACAGCCAAGGCCCACCTGCCCACATCAGGGAGTGGTCAGCGTAAAGTCCACGGCAAATCTCAAAAAATCCTCCCAGCTTCCTGTAAAAAGCAGGGGCATTTCGGTCTCTGTCTGGTTATGATGACAACCATCGAGTAAGGTCCTGGCTTTCCCACGCTGCCCCAACCAGGGAGCAGCCAGAGTTAGCGCTGTCACTGTCACTGTCATTGCTGGGCAATCACACCCTCCCGCTCTGACACTGAATGTGGAAGTTTCCATTCACACCAGCACCGATTTCTGGCATGAGAGCATGAGACAGTCTACTAGTGACTGAAGGTGCCGGTGAGTCCTACGGGCTTGGCCTGGACGTCACTCAGGTGTGCACAGGTTTGGGCCAGCAGGGTGAAAAAAGAAAGTCACCCCACCAAATCCTGCTTGTTGATAAAAACAGCCATCCTGTGTTCCAGGCACTGCGCTAAGTAGATGATCTCATCTAATCCTAAAGTAAATACTGTTATTATCTCCTCTTTAGAGAGGAGGAAATTGAGGCCCAGAGAGGTTAGGTAATACGACAAAGGTCACATGGGCAGTGAATTGTAGAAGGCAGAGTGAAGCAGGTGAGCTGGCTCCTGAGCCTTCATTCAAACATGACTTCCTGGGCAAGGATCTGCAGCTTTGGACAGCCAGGACGCTTAGAGGGCTGCCCTGCCTGCTGGCTTCTCCCTGTCTCTCTGCCCCCACGCCCTGCAGCTTTCGAAGGGCTTTCTCCTGCTACTGAGAAGGGGAGAGGAAGGCAGTCCTTGGGACCTTTCAGGAAGTGACATCCCCTCCCCCTCAATCCTTCAGTTCTTTCAAACATTCTCATGGCAGGCCTATGTCCCCTGGTCCTCATCCATCTCTACATAAATACTAAAGCATTAGGGCCCTCCTCGGCGTTCTCAAACAGGGTACGAGCTGCATACAGCTCGGAGCTCTGAGTTTCAAGGGACTCTTACCACAGGCCCCAAGAGAGGGCTCCGCCTCCTGTCCACTGCACTTGTAGGACAATGTTACCGTTACTTCGCCCATTAGTATTGGATACCACTCACAGTCAGCCACCACAGGAAACATTGGGCTGAAGGGGATTTTTTTTTTTAAGGTTATTTATGTCTTCCTATGGGTGAGAGAGAGCCTACTCGCAACAGGGTCCTGATGCCACTCTCCGCCCCTAGGCTTCAGCCAGCCCCAGACCATGGGTGAGGCCATGCAGGTGTACTCAGGGAGGTCTCTGGACTGGAACTGCGAACCTCCCTGTGGGATTGCCACAGAGAGCACCATGTTTTATGGCTTACACCACCTTGTCCAAGTCTGGGAGGAATTTAGTGAAGGATATCTGAGTGAGTGAAGTCTTGCCCAGAGACCCCTGTCTCCACTGCCTGCAGACGTGCTGCCCTGTTCGCTGCCCTGTTCATCAAGGAGAAAACCTGGGGCAGGTGGAGTCAATGGAGGTATTTTATATCCCTAAGAGGAGCATCTTTGCATCCTATGGTTGGGACCCACTGTGTCTGTAAAGATGAGAGAGGCCATATGGGAGGATCCGGAGGGCTGGACTTATGCTCGTGGGAGCAGCAAGCCCTTGAGGCTTCACAGACTTCACAGATGTGGGGTTCTGCTAGACCGTGGTGCTTATGGGTTTGCGGGAAGGACAGACATGAGCTCCATCTCTGACATCTTACAAAAGCCTCTCTACCCATGACTCATCACAGTTTCTTCCAAAGCCTTGGTCCTGCCACTCTGGCCTACTGAGCCAGGCCAACACTAGCTCCTTGGGCTGTATCATCACCCGACCTGATTCTGGGAGGGTCTTGCCCAAAATATATTAATGAAGACATGCCAGCCCCGGAGTCTTTTCTAATCCCATATAACTGTTGCCTCTAAGCCCTTCCTGTTTTCAGCCAGCCCCAAAGGCAAGGATTGAAAGATTCTGCCAGGAGATAGGGAAATGGAGCTATGGAGCTCAAATCTGTAGCTCTTTCACGGGCCCTTGGGCCAGTCCCTGGTAAAAGTGGGTAAACATGCATGGCCCTGCCCTTTTGACCTTAAATCCCCACAGTGCCCTGGAGAGTCACACACACTATCTGCTTGCTGGAAATGCAGATTCCTGGTGTGGGAGGCTGAATAGTGCCCCCCCCCAAAGATATCTAGGCCCTAATCCATAGAAACTGTACAAGTTACTTTATAAAGGAAAAGGGTACTTTGCAGATGTGAATAAGGATCTGGACATAGGGAGATTATCCTGTTACCTGGATGGCCTTAAAATCTAATCACACATGTCCTAAGAGGGAGGCAGAGGGAAATGTGATACATATAGAAGAGAAGGGGGAAGTGGGACCACAGAGGCAGACACTGGAGTGTGTGGCCCTGGTCGAGCTGGCAGTGACCAGAAGCTGGACAGGCGGGGATTGAATCCTCCTTTAGAGCCTCTGGAGAGAGTACAGTCCTGCAAGCACCTTGATTTCTGCTCGGTGAAACAGATTTCAGACGTTTGGCCTCCAGGACTATGAAAGAATAAGTCTTAAACTTGGGGTCATTTGTTATAGCAGCCACAGGAAACTAATACACTGGGCCTCATTCACCATCTTCTGAAACAGTCTCTGGAGAAACAGCGCTGGAATCTGCTTTAGGACAAGTGCCCGAATTCACATTACAATGTGAAAAACTATCTTTAAAGAAGTGTGATTTCTCCCTGCCATTGCAAGAGATAAGCCCAGTAATATAAATGGCATTGTATGTATGCAATTTACAGAAAAGGAAACATACTTTAGGAATATATTCTCTAAAAGTTTTTACTAACATGGATAAATCAGTGCTATTCAAACTTCCTACAGTGATGGATTATTTTTTTCCCAATATTTTTAGTTTTTTTTTTCCTTTGCCATAGGGTACATACGCTCACCAGAAAGAGAGAGAGGGAACATGAGAAATCACCCCCCAGGGGATGGACATACTGCTATCCCTTCCCCTCCATTCTCCTCCTGAGATTTTGGGCACAAATGCACATTTGTCCAGCGTGATTTTCAACCTTCCAGGTCCAGGACTCAAACCACAGTCGGGTATGTGGGTGTCCAGCACCTTAACCATCATGCCACCTGCTGGCCCCAGTGATGGACATTTTTATATCTGAACTACCTAATAGAATAGCCACGTGTGGTTACTGAGCACTTGAAACATGGCTAGTGCCGCAGAAAGCCTGAACATTTTATGTTATTTAACTTCAATAAGTTTTGATTTCAAGGCCACAGTGGCTATGGTGCTGGACAATGCCAGTAAGGCCAACCTTCACATTCTGTGACCTGTGCCTTTATATTCCCGGGATGGGAAGACCATGAGGGCAAGGGTTAGGGGTGTTGTCTTCACTGCTGTATCCTCGGTTACTAGAATTGCACAGTAGATCCTTAGTAAGCATCTATCAAGTGGATGGTTGGGTAAATAAAGATATGATTGCCTTTCCCGTAGAATTTTAAGAGAAAAGAGACCTAAACTTGCATCTTGACCCAACTTCTTTCACAGATGAGGATCCTGAAGGTCACAGAGGAGAAGCATGTCTCACGAAGCCACACAAGGAGTAAGGGAAACCAGACCATGGACTCCCGACTCCTACTCACTCCCGTCTCCTCCCTTCGCACCTATTCCTCCAGCTGCACTCTTACCTGTCTCCATGAAGCACAGTCCTAGGTGGACAACACAGGCCCTCATTAGAGTCAGTGACCACTGCAACACTCCCCCTTACCCGCATATAGAATTCTCTGCCCTCGTTCCCAGACTTGATCTGGAAAATGTAATAGGCCCCGGGGTAGCGGGTCGTGGCTTGCATCTGGAAGATGTCAGCAGGCACGGAGCGTCCTGACACCACATCCATGTCACGATATAAGATGGTGAAGGGCTGGTCTCTGCAGCCGGGATTCTCAGCAGGACACATACAGCGGCTGGTGGGAAGGGAAATTGTGTGAGTAAATTCTCCCCAGGCTTGGATGTGCCTGCTTCCTCTCTTAAAACACTAAAAATAAGGGGCCGGCAGGTGGCAGGGTGGTTAAGGGCACTGGACTACCACATGGTTGACAGCAGTTCGAGTACCAGACCTGGCGGCTTACTTTCTTACTTTCCTTCTCTCTCTCTCTCTTGCTCTGTGCCTCTGTGGTCAGAAAGAAAGGAAGGAAGGAAGGAAGGAAGGAAGGGAGGGAGGAGAAAGAAAGCAGGGAGGGAAGGAGGGAGGGAGGAAAAGAAAGAAAAGAAGGAAGGAAGTTAAATAAAATCATTCTTTAAAAAAAAAACACCGGGACCAGCAGTTAGCGTAATGGCTATGTCGCTGGACTCCCATGTAGTTGACCACAGTTCGAGTCCCAGACTTGATGGCTTAAAACTCACGCTGGGCACGTCTGCGTGCGTGCCCAAGATCCCAAGAGGAGAATGGAGGAGAAGGGATTGCGGTGTGGCCATTCCCCCTGGGGGGTGATTTCTCACTTTCTATCTCTCTGTCTCTCTCTGTCTGTCTGGCGAGCGCACGTGCCCTATAGCAAAAACCTCTTTAAAAAATAATAAAATTTTAAAAATAAAAAAAAAACACTGAAAATGTAGGCACCCCATTTTTATTCCAATGCCCTAACTGTAGACCCCTCCACTCCTGACTCTCATCTGAAAACTCCAGCACGTAGGTAAGTTCTCTGTTTCTTACAGAATATCCTCCTCTGACTGATCAGACATCCTGGCTCCTAGAATAGAAACCTTAGATTTCTGCTTTTCAAGATACTGAAACATTCTTTAGTGCCCTTTATATTTGTCACTTATTCGGATGGCAAAGTGTGCCACTGGTCACATAGTCCTTCGCGTTCTCAGCCATTGACGCTCATCAAGAAGTTTGAAAAGCAAGCTATTACTAGACCGACGAGTCTTGGAGGTCCTTTTCCACATGCTGTTGCGGTTAGTCCAATGTGTGTGAAACATAATCGAATCTTTTATTCAGTAAACAAGAGCCCAGAACTCACTATGTACAAGACCCAGTATTAGGGACTTGGGAAATGCAATGATAAGCAAGATTCTGACCTCGAAGAGTTCACGTGAAGGAAAAAGTAAGTCAAGGATCCAAATGACTCTAATATGACACAACCAGTACAAAACCACTAACGGCACATCCTAGCTTAAAATCACCGCCTTCAGTCACCAAAGAACTGTCAGAGATACTCTGATTAATCCCTGACCCTTCTCTCTCCTCACCTCGTTCCTGAGAATCCCCTTAGCAGTCAGTCCACATCAGACGGCACCTGTCTTGAGGCTCTGGAGTTAGCCTTGTGGTGTTTCTGTCGCTCTCCCCTAACTTCCAACCTATCCACAAAACCTGCTGGCCCTGCTTCCAAGAGAGATTCCAAATCTTGCCAAGTCTCATCATCTCACTCTTAAGTGAGATTAAGACCATGTCACTGCTGTGGTCTTTCAGACCATCGACCTCTCACACCTGGACCTCTGTGATGGCCTCTTAATGGGTCAGAGAGCCGTTTGTCAAGTATTAATATTAATCAGATTAGATTTGGCCCCTGCATTAAAGATTCATTAGCAGGACCAGCAGGTGGTGTAATGGTTAAGTTGTTGTACCCCCACCTAGTGGGTCACGGTTCAAGTCCTGGACCCGGCAGCTTAAAACTCACGCTGGACATGTGTGTGTGGGTGCTCAAGATCCTGAGAGGAGAATGGAGGAGAAGGGATTAAGATGTGAATGATTCCCCTGGGGATTTCTTGCTTTCTGTCTCTCTGTCTCTCCAGTGAGTCCCTACACCCTGCAGCAAAAATCTCTCCAAAAAAAAAAAAAAAAAGGACTCATTAGCTACCCCTGGCAACTTGGATGAAAGCTAAACACCCACTTTAGCCTCTAAGACATGGGGACATTGGTCTGGCCTCTGTCCAGTTCTCTAACTTGCTCTCAGGCCACTGTCCACTGCACCCACCAGGTCACAGCAACTCAGGCGTCTCCCATACTCCAAGACATCAGCGTTACTCTTACCTTACAGCCTTTGCACATGCTGTTCCCCTGCCCTTCCACTCTCTGTTTGGCTAATGTCAACTCACCTCCCCATCCCAGCTCAAACATCATTTCTTCAGCGGGGCCTTCAGACTCTTGGGTATAGACAAGGTCCAAAATACTCCTTTCCGTTCTTTCCATCTATAGCATCTATCACAATTGATTATTTATTCATCTATGTGACAATTGGCTTAATGTCATTCACCTCCACTAGACTCTGAGCTGCATATGAGCAAAAAGAATAGCACCTAGTACACACCAGAAATTTAACGAGCATTTAACAAATGAATGGACACAAATAATCTTCAAGTTCCTTTTTTTTTTTTTTCTTTTAGTGTTGCTATAGGGTGAATGCACTTGCCCAAAAGAGGCAGAGAGTGAGAGGTGGGAAAAGTGAGAAATCACCCCCAAAGGGGGATACCACAATCCCTTCTCCATTCTCTCAGGATTTGGGGCATGCACATACACACACACACAACCAGTGTGTTTTTTAAGCTGCTGGGTCCGGGAGTTGGCTGTGTGGGATCCAGCCACCTTAACCTCTATGCACCTGCTGGCTCTAAAGATCCATGTTTGGTAGGACTGCATCAAAATAGTCAAGTCAAAATGTCCCTGATGCCAAAATGGCCATATGAAAATGTCACACGTCACAGAGAAAATCCCTGCTCTAGTTCCTAGAAGTTTGGCCAAGGGAGTGATGTCACCCAGCTGAAGAGGATCACGAATAGCTGAGAGAGGCAGCATTTACTGAGATATGAAAGACAGGCCAGATCTGGCCACGTGGACATGGAAGAAACGCTTTCCATATGGTGGGAGGTCTGTGCACCAAAGTCCTGACTAGGCCAGGGTGTGGATAAAGGCGAGAGCAAGGCCCATTCAGGCTGGCAGGTATGCAGGACACCCAACAGGAAAATAGGGCTGCAAGGGGGCTGGAGTCAGGCTGAACTGGGGCCCGGAGGCTGGTGTCACCATGTGTGTTCAGTGTCATAGCAGAGGCTTCACTGGTTACACCAGCTCAGTGTTGTGGGCCAAACTGGGTCAGTTCCCCAGCCACAGACAGAAACCCAGAGCCAGGAATTGAAGCCAGTGAGAGCAGCCTGAATGCCACATAGGGCCCTTGAGCCAGAGGTGGCGGGGCCTGTTCTAAAGTGTTGCTAAGAAGCACAGCTCTCAGCAACAAGCGAGCAAAGACAGCTCTAATGGACCCACTGTCCTGACTTTGTCTTCTTTTTTGCCGGGAGAACAAGCACACTGGTGAGCCACGAATTCTTCTGTTAGATGCTGCGTCATCTCCAGTGAGATAGCTTGGCCTTGCTAGTAGTAAATATGTGACCTTCGAAAGAGAGTAGGGCAGTGGGACAGCAGGTAGCACAGTGTTAAGGTGTTGGACTCCCACAAAGTCAATTACGGTTTGAGTCCCGGGCCTGACGGCTTGAAACACACCAGGCACATGTGCATGCATGCCCAAAGTCCTGAGAGGAGAATGGTGGAGAAGGGGTTTCAGCATGGCCATCCTCCCTCGGGGTATTTCTCACTTTCTCTACCCCTCTGGTGCACACACACCCTATAGCAAAAATCTCTCAAAAGTGAGAGAGAGAGAGAGAGAGAGAGAGAGAAGGGCAGAAGATGTACTTGCATACAAGCATGTGGGGCGTGTGTGTGTGTGTGTGTGTGCATGCATGTGCACACGTGTGCAGAGGCCAAGGAGGAACTGAGATGATTAAATAGGAGAAGCAAAAGCAACCCCTAGTGTGCCAGGGACAGAAAATGCTGTCCCAGCACATAGAACTCATTGAAGCTGTCTTCACTTTCGTTCTCCCCTTAACTCTAATATTTGCCATCTGGTGATTTAGAGAAATGCTGACCATTTTGGCATCAGAAACTTGAGTAAAGCAAGCCGTACACTCTCAGGTGTTGAGAACTTTCTAGCAAACTCTCTAGATCACAGACCCTACCCCAAAACCTCTGAATCAGAACAGAACTCGCACGAGATCCCGAGGTGGTCCTGTGCATGCTACATTGGAAAAAGCCCACTCTAAAAGACCCTGTATCCAGAATAAAGTCATGAACGGGAAAAAGGAAGCTCATGTGCCCCACCCCCTTCAGGGTAGTTTTCTAGAGAACTGTCACGTTGTTCTCACATGAGTAGGGGTGTGATAGAGAACTCTGTGTGTGTGTGTGTGTGTGTGTGTGTGTGCAAGCACACACACACATACATGCACACACACACAGGTGAGCATGTGTGGCAGGAAGCAAGCCAGGTCTCCTGATTCCCTGGCTGGTGCCCTCTCCTTCACACACTGCCGGCCTCCTGAGCCAGACTTCCACCGCGTTTCCATTTCCCAAGGAGAAGCCACGACTTACTTGTCACTGATCCTCAGGTAAGGTTCCTCGCAGCGGATGGGATCAATGCATTTGAAGCCCCCTTGCAAATTGTAGCAAGACTGCTGTAGAGAGCACGTGTGGTTTCTGTGCTCACACTCGTTGATGTCTGAAATGCAGGGTGGGCAGAAGCTGAAACAGGACTGTACTTCTACAGTTTTGGCCCTGGGCCGGGCCTGTAGGGGTGGGGGAGCGGAGGGCTGCCAGGTCCTCCTATAGAGCCACACGACTTGGTATGGCAGTCACCTGGACACCAATGGCTGCTCTGTGCTTGACATGTGGTTAGCCCAAATGAAAATGTGTATGTGTTGCAAGTTGAAAATACCACATCGGATTTTGGCAACTCAGTATAAAAAGGGATGTGAAACACCTTATTGGTAATTTTTATATTTAGTTGAAATGATAATCTTAGGTTGTAGGAAATGCCATGATGTTTTTCTAAGCAAAAGTGTGTCATGATTTTTCCGACAGCCCAATATGTTGAATATAGTACATTAAATAAAATATAGTATTAAAAGTACTTTGACCTATTTCTTTTTACTTTCTTAATGTGGCCACCAGAAAATGCAAAGCTACATAGCTGGGCCACACGTGTAGCTCACACGCTATAACTTTTCTCTTTTTTCTTTAAGACAGGGCCTCGCTATACTGCCTAGGCCAGCCTGGAGCTCGTGATCCTCCTGCCCACTTACTGGGGTTAAAGGTGCATGCCACCTTGCTCAGCCCTCCATTTGACCTGGAGTCAAACCTGGGTCTCCCATGTGCTCTCAGCCTGTAGAACCCAGCATCCTGGCAGTGTATGCCACTGTGGCTGGGTCTCCCGTGCTATTGCCACTCAGCCCCACTGTGGAGAATTCTTGCTTGATGTTGGGGTAAGGCAGGTTCAGGGAGGCTGAGATGGGTCAGCAGCTCCTACACTGGCCCCCAATAAGAGAGGGGCTGGAAATCTGGCCAGTCTGGACAAGACTTCTTCCTTTCACAGCCTGGGGTCCTGCTCCTGGGAGGATCATGGCAGTCATGATCAGGTGCATGAGGTCTCCCTGGTATCTGTCCTCCAGGAGGTCTGGAGAAGGAAGCTGGCCATCCTGCCCTCCAGGTCATGAGGGAATGCCTGCGTTTTGGTCCTTGCACTGGGCCAGGCCACAGGAAGTCCTGGCTGGGTCTAGAGCAGTCCTCAGAGGGGCCGTGGAGATCCACCTGGGGGACCCTTTGTGGGAGCCATGTGCATCTGTGAGGTCGTGGCCTGGACACAGGATAGGCCGTGGTGGGAGAAGGCATCCTGCTCACTCTGGGAGCCACCGACATCCACTCACCCCCCGCCTCCTTCCAACCTGAAACCACACAGGACTCCCCAGGTGAAGAGGTCCAGCTGCCTCCCGAGTCAGCCCCACCTGACACCTCCCCGGCAGGTCCCTCCAGACAGCCTTACCCTGACAGCTCCGGTTGTCATCCAGCAGGATGTAGCCTGGTGGGCAGGAGCAGAAGTAGGTGCCAGGCTGGTTCACACACTCGTGCTGGCAGAGGAACTCGGAGAAGCTGCACTCGTCCATATCTGGGGGCGACAAGTTACACCTGATCTTTATAATCACAGGCTATCTGGGGATGGGAGCTTGTGGGCACCCCAATGCCTGCTTTACTGCTATAAGTTTCCCACTGACTTCTTGAACACTCCGGTTAACGGGGAGCTCATTACCTATGGAGGATGTCATTGATCTGGATGGCTCTACTTGTTAGAGACTTCTTTCCTGCCGAGCTGACATCCACCTCCATGAGGTTTCCCACATCGTCTGCCTCAGCTGTTTCATGTTTGCCATTGCATCATTTCGCCCTGCCAGCGCATCCACGCTCCACCTCTGACCTCCCCAGGAAGCTGAGATGTGTATGCCTGCTAGGGTTTCTGGACCCAGAGCTCTTTCTCAAGACCCAGAAAACGTTCACTCCCCTGGTCTTCTGAGGAGGCTGCTCCAGCGATGCCACTGCCCTACCATTGCTCTCCCTGCAAGCCGAGGGACAGTGTTGTTTCTAAAATCACATCAAAAAGGGACATGTCCAGAAAGCCAGAGGGTATTGATGCGTGTGAAATTTCATCTTTGGGGCCAACAGATGGCGTGGAGGTTGAGGAACCAGGGAGGTTGAGGGGAGTGCGTGTGCCTTATGACAAAAGTCTGCTTTAAAAAAAAATTCATCATATCAGACCAGCCTGTGGCCTGGTGGTTACATAAGCCAGATCCCACATGGCCAGATGCCCAGTTCGAGTCCTGGACCCATGGCTTGAAGAACACGCGCTGAGTGTGTGTGTGCATGCCCAAAATCCTGAAAGGAGGGAGAGATGAAGGAGAAGGGATTGCGACATGGCCATTCCCAGTGGGGGGAGGGTGCTTTCTTGCTTTCCCTCTCTGTCTCTCTGGTGAGTGCATGTACCCTCTGGCAAATAAAAGAGGAAAGGGAAGGAAGGAAGGAAAGAGAGAGAGAAAGAGAAAGAAAGTTCATTGTATCAAAAAACCTCCTTGAAAAAGAAAATTCTGGAGAGGCATGGGGTGGGCAGACATCTGTCCCTCTGGACATGGGATACAGCAGCCTCGAGCAGCCTCAGACTGGCCAGGAGCTGGCCCACCCTCGGGGAGCAGAGTAGGATGTAGAGAAGGAGCTTGTCTACGCAGGCTGTGGCAGTTGAAGCAGAAGCAGAAGCAGACGTTCCAGAGAAGTCAACTGCTCATCACACACAGAGTTTGGCAACAGAGACCCCATTTGAGCCTCATTCAACAAGCACGCCAAAGAAAACATGTTTTTCTTGCATTTGTTGTTTCCCGAAAACTTGCTTTCACTGATTTCCCCATGTGACGTGTCCTCGGATTACTCTCTAACTCACAGACCACTGGTGGCTGAAATCACTCAGGAAGGGTGTCGGCTAGAACCCAGCAGCTTCTCCACCACCAGAGAATTCTGGGGTACTACACCTAACGCCACTCACATCCAAGAGGGAAAACCTTTTCCACCTCTCTTGGTGGTTTTCAAATGACGGGTCCTGAGCCAGCGGACTTATTAGAGGATGCTGGTTTGAAGAGTGACAGTGTCTCGGGCCATGCCTGCTCTTGTCATGCCACCATCCCGGTCCCCAGGAGCCTCGTAGAACCGCAGCCCATCATAACAGCATGTGTCCTAGTTTATTTCTGCTGAGTTTGTGGATTCCATTCTTACCTACAGTATAAGTAGCACCAATACCTGCCGGTGCCGGAGGCTTGCTAGTGCCAGGCACCGGGCTAAACGCTTTGCATGCCTCAACTTATTGAATCCCCTGCCTGGCCCTATGAAGGAGATACTGTTACTACCCATATTTTACAGCAGAAAAATTGAGGCTTACAGTGGCTAGGTGACTTGACCAAGTTTACAGATTACGAGTAAGTAGGAAAATCGGGATTTGAACCTAGCCAGTGAGGCCCTACCTCCTGCGATACTGTCTCTGTAAGTATGCTTAGGATGTAAAGTCAATGGATTTGGAGAGTTCTGAGGGCAGGGAACTCCCCCAGGCAGGATTAGATCCAATGCAAATGAAGAGGGTAACACCTACCCAGACCTTCTATGAGCAGGAAAGAGCCATAACAGATCCCACTCAGTTTCTCCTCGAGTCTGCAATTCCTGGATTTCACTCAGGGCTGTGGCTCCACCCTCCACTGAAAAGCTGAAGAACAACCCCCTGTTCTGGTGAGCAGTACACATTAGGCATTTTCTCTCCTCCACGTGAAAATCCACCATGGTTTCCAGCTTGGCTTAGTAAATCCCCAAGGGACAAGGGGACACAGCTAGGAAAGGCCCGGGGCACACCCCAGCTGTGATAACACAGTGAGGATAACAGTGCTTGGGGAAAGCAGAGAAGCACAGGAAGGGAGTGTAGGGGTACACAGAAAACAACTCTCCCACGTCCCACTGTCCCCTCCACAGCCTGAAGGAGCCAGGGGTCATGCTAAGTCTTCAGGAAAGCAGGCATCACGGTGAACATGGGAGAGACGGTGGCCATTCTGGATAAAATGAAAACTTTATTGAGTCCTCACAGGACCAGGCCTGTAGCCTAGTAGCTAAGGGAGCTGAATGGCCAACCATATCTAATTCCAACCATAATGGCTTGAAAAACATGTCAGTGTGTGTGTACACGTGTTGCAAATCCCAACAGGATAGAGAAATGGAGGAGAAGGAACTGTGGCATGAGCATGTCCCACAGGGAGTGGAGGTGCTTTCTTCCTCTCCCTCTCCATCTCTTTCTCTCTCTGGTGAGTGCATGCACCCTCTGGCAAGGAGGAAAGAAAGGGATGGAGGGAGAGAGAAGAAAGGGAAAGGAAAGGAAGAGAAAAATCTCACCAAACCAGCAAGGATTTAAGCTCCTCAAAAAAACCTAAAGTCCCTTATAGTTATACTTAGGGATGATAAATTAGCATGTAATAACACTTGAGGCCAGAGGTGGCATGGTGATTAAGGTGCTGGACTTCCACATTGCCAACCCGGTTCAAGTCCCAGACCCGGTGGCTTGCTTGCTCACTTCCCTCTCTCTGTGTCTCTCTCTGGTGAATGCATGTGTCCTATAGCAAATTTTTTAAAAGAAATAATAATAATAAATAAATAAAATAATTCTAAAATAAATAAATAAAATAACACTTAAGTACACGAACTTGTTTAATCTTTAGAATCAGCCTACGAGAGCAATCGGTCAGTTGATTAATTAAAAAAAAGAGGAAACGGAAACTCAGCAAGTCACTTGGCCTAGGCCAGCAGTAAACAATACGGCCAGAATTTGAGCTCCCTCTGGCTTGAGGGACACCACCACACCGCCTCTGCACATGGTCTACAAACACCTGAAGATCTGTAGGCAATTCTCAAGAAACAAACAGTCCCGTCTCCTAATGCTCACCTTTCCACGCTTCTGATTTCCTTAGTTCACATTTCCCGAAAAGTATCATGGGGAACATGGACATCTAGGAAGACAGTGTCCTTTTGTGCCTGAGGGTATTTTATTTCTGATCCTGGGACAGATATTTAGTCTGAGGCCCTCTGTAACTGCCTGCTTGTGCCTCTGACTTTCCCAGCCCTCGAGAGACGTTTCATTTGTTTCTGTCCCTAGAAGGCTTCCGTCCCAAGTGAAAGTATCACACAAGTCTCTTTCATGACCTGGGTCGGTTCCTGTTACAGTGAAACCCAGGATTAGGAAACTTTCCATTCTGCAGGACAAAAAGATTTTCACACCCTAGTGTATGGCCCACGTCTTTTGAAAAGTACAATAGGACATTATTAATTTGGCCTTTGGTCATTCACAACTGATGGTGATGCCAAAAGTGAGTGGAACGGAGGTGAATTTAATTTGACATTAACAAACAAGGAGAGAAGAAAGGGAGTTAGCTGTACATGACTCTGTGAAACGCTACCATGAGAAATATGAGTAAAAAGTAGTCGCGATTCTCAAGGAGTTTACAATCTACTAATAGTTTTCTAATTCTCTAGGAAAATAAAATTGAACTTTGTTGGGAAAAAGAGAGGGGATTAATAAGAAAATTAGAGTAAACAAACGAGCATGGGCAGAGAATCAGCTCCTAAGATTTGAAAAGAATTTATAAAAGGTCAACCAAGCCATGTCTGTGTTTTGACAAAAAATTACTAGGATTTCATTCACTCATGTCACTGGAACGGCTGAGTGATTAAAACAATAGACTTACAAGTTTATTCATTCAACAATCAATCATTTGATTCAAAAACAATATATTGCATGTCCACTATATGCCAAGCCTTGTCCTCCCCATTGATTACTGTAGAGTTGTCAGAATTTCACAAAAGTGAATGTGCTCACGTACATGATCTTCGCTCCATGCCCCTGCAGTCCTACCCTATATTCATGGGTCACCACGCTCTATAAATACTATCTGTGCTCTCCCCAGAACTTGAGTCAGTGCTAAGTAAGGACAGGTAACTCTCAAACCAACAGACAAAATCAGGTGTCTCCTATCTCTTGTCAACCCCACCTCAGGTTCTAGCTCCATTGATTTTTGCATTCAGGGTCAGATGACAAAGAAGGTGAGTCTCCTTTCTGCCTCTAGGGAAGTGCTTCATCTCCGTTCTGTAGGGCTGTAATCCCACTGCCCTGAGAAATGTCGCAAACTGGATGTGTATCCAGGAAATGAGAGGAAACACCTGTGAAGGAAGTCCTTGTCCTCCCACCCCCAGGTCCCTAGTATAGAAGGAAGTCTCCAATGCCAAAACCCATTACCACTGCAATGAACGCCATCATCCTCGAGTTCATATCCTGGGTCACAGCGGCAGATGAAAGAACCATAGGTGTTGACACAGGTTTGCACACAGGGGTTCTCAGTTGCACACTCATTCACATCTGTAGAAAGCCAAAGCACATCACTGATCATTCTCATAACAGAGCGCCCATACTAACCAGGCGTAAAAACCTGCCCTGCAACAAAACCCATTACCATCAGGAGACCAGCTCTGCAGGTACCTAGGATCTCTATCTAAGACCTAACAGTTTGGGATCTCAGACCCCAAAAAAAGGCCAGGCCTCTCTCCGGCCTCCATCCACATGTCCTTTCTAGGGTCACAAGTCAGGAAACGTGTCCAAACTATAGATAGAATTATATAGATATTGTGTCATTGGAAAAGTCATGACGCGTTTTTTGCATAGAATAACAGAAAAATACAACATAATTTTCTGACAACCCAACATATATACATACATACATATATATATATGTGTGTGTGTGTATTCATGTATTCATTTATTTATTTACTTTTCCTCTGAGTGCTCCAAAGATGGTAGGAAGCAGGAGATTTGCAGGCCTGGGATTAGCCCTCTCCTTTAAGAGGATATATAGATAGATAGATGATTGATTGATAGATAGATAGAGATAGATAGATAGATAGATAGATAGATAGATAGATAGATAGATAGATATGTATGTATGAGACTTCTTCTACAAAGCTAATCTGGGGTGAGAGGAGAAGTAAGGAGCCCATTCTTCCACTGGCCTGGGCTGACCCCTGTGAGCACCCTCTCTCCCATGCTCCATACACCAAGACCAAAGTTCCAGCTGAAAGGTTGTTCATTCTTTTCGGAAGCCCAGGTAAACCTCTTAAGACTCTGAAAAGAGATCTGAGTGTTTTCCAAGTTAACAACCTTCGAGGCAGGCAGTTCGAGGTTTTACTTAAAGGGGAGGGCTAATCCCAGGCCTGCAAAGCTCCTGCTTCCTGCCATCTCTGGAGCTCTCAGAGGAAAGGTAAATAAAAGGATGAATGAACAGCCATGTAAGGAAGGGCCAGCAAGATACCAGTCTTCCCAGTGCCCCTTAGGAGGTTCACGTTTCTCCTCCAGGATGGGGCGGGGGTGGGGGTG